GGGTTATTGTTTACCACACAGCTCACAACAGTGGCTAAAATCCAGGATGTGAAGATGAGGAACACACTGCTAGTGCACATTTATGTATGGAGGCTATAAAAGTGTTCAGTACAATTCTGCATTTGCTTAAAAATCCCGTTAAACAATTTTTCCAGGTATTATACAACTTTTAAAAAATTGCTTCCATCTCAAGAGGGTCAAAATATCCATCTATAAAGCCACAGTTCAATCTTCAATACGTTTAAGCCATATTATTCAGACCAGGGGGCAACAACCAGAGTTGAAAAGGTAAGCCAGTAATGTGGAAGCGGCATAAACTGCAATTCCTCTAGGTGCTATTTGAGGCTGGCTCCATAGACGCCTATGTTAAAATGATCAGCTTTAGAGCATTATAAAGCAAATTTATAGCCTGGTACAAAATGTTTTTAGACTGTATGGATTATTTCCCGCTTCATACCATATTTCATGTACCTGAATAACTGAGCTAGGGGTGTGACCATGTTGATTGACAGAATTCACTAGTTACATTTTAGTTACTAGACTGGACCTCCTCACCATGAGTGTGCTGTTGTAGCCATTTTGGACCATTTTAAAATCAGTTATCTAAAAAATATTATGATTTGCTGTGTAATACAGATCAGCCAGTAAGTTTGTATTTACATTTTGGGGAGTTAAATTCCATTCCACGAAAAAAAATATTCTTTCAAATACTAAAATTCCTTTCCTTTGCCAACACATTCATCCAATTTATATGTAGAAATTTCTTTATATATATATGAATAGATTAAAAATTTACTAGCTACAAAGTAGCTTTGCCCTTAAGCATTCCTTCCTTTACGTTTCATCTACTCTAAGTTTGATCATAGTTTACTAAATGAACACCCTATATTAAGATATCTATTATTGTATCTAGAGCTCATGTTACACTCATGTTTTCATGAACTTTGATGTAACTGGGCTCATTTTTGCAGCTGACAAGTCATCCTCTCCTGGCCATTTAAAAGAATGGTGGTTTAAGGCTTTTCTACACTGACTTTGCTTTTCACACTCTGACGTCGTTAAATTGTTTTATATACAGTCTATGGTCACATCCTGTCTTCCTGCCACTTTCTGTTGCTCTATACCTGGAAGCTATGACTAATAAATTATCTTTCACTTCGATAAGGCAGGACATAGGAGCAGAATGGGAGGCTAGCGAGGATGTAATGTGTCACAGGAGAGGGATGCAAGTACTCCCAGAAGCTATCATTAAATTAAAGATATAAAACAAGCTCCCAATCATGTGCCTGAGTTATTTTTTTTGACTATACACTGTCATGTATAGTGACCTGTGATGTGACATGGGACGGTTTGATTTGCTGACCTCAACTGATGTGATTTAAACACACAATTATTGACATTTCACTCTTCATCCACAAAGTATTCCAGTGTATTGATTTTATGTATCATACAAAGCAGTAATCTGACCTGTCCTCACTATGAATAACATTTCCCATGAGTATGCCCATATTCTGATTTTTTTTTTTTGACCATCAACATGCTCTAATTTTTGCGTCCATATATAATATTGCCGGTGTCCAGCTAAACTTGCTGTCCGTGCGTACATATAACTTACAGTTGTCAAAAGCATTAAGAAAGATTAAAAGTGATTTATGTGATTATTTACATTGTCTGTTGTCTTTGCAATATTCTTTCTAAAAGTAACAAATCAGAACTGTTTCTGTTTCTTTCTTTTCTTTTTTAACCTGAAAATGTGTGCGTGCCAGTTTTCATGCAATCGCTGACTGAATATCTGGCCTGTTATGTGTTTGTGTGTATCACTGGATTAAACTCTTAAAGGCTTTAATGGGTATTCTGTAGCAGCATTATATTTAGAAAAAGAAACCACCTTACCAGGTTCTGGCACTATTATGAAATCCTGTTGTCAGTGGAGCTTTTCTTTTCACATCTCTCAACCTTTCAGAATTGTCCCCACCCCCTCATATTTACTACAAACCTAATCTGTATTATTCTTTTATGTGTTAACACTGTTGACACTCAAGTGTATATCATTGCATTCTACAGATCATCCACAAAAATGAGGCAAAAGCATTTAGGTTTGCGCTTTAGAACAGCCACAGTAACAGATTAAGCCGGATGCATTAATGGATTATAGGACAATGTGTTTTTTTCCCCTCCTGTTGGACTCGCATTTCTCCGTGGTCACGTACTATGTGTAGCAGGAAATACGGGATTATTGTCCAGAACTGCAACCACTTTTCTTTATGCAGAAGAGATGGGAGGACAGCAATGGTCGCATCACCAATGGAGGACGAGAAGTAAAGGCTAAAGTTTCAGTATTCTTGTGACTGTAGTGAAAACAACATTTAAATGGCTGTCGCGCACATGCAGATATTTCTATTGAAAACTGACTTATTGTCCATTTGTGTCGAGACCTCACTCATGTAATCTCTCATGGTTACAAGTGAGTGGTGGAGGGTTATTTAGATATTGAAGCCAAGTAATCCTGATGTCTCTTATCCTTACTACAAAAGCTTTTCTTGGCCTATGTCTTTATGCTGGGATTGTCTTTGCCCTTATACGCCATGATTATACGATGTGCTGCACTAAGAAAACAAATGATAAAAAAATAGACTGTTACAGTTACAACTTTTCAACTTTGTTAAGCTTAAAATATATCAGTTATCCATTTTGACCACTTTATATGTATATGAAACACACTTTTATTTCTTTTCTTTTGTCTGTTAGCCATGACACAGTCAAAGGTTTGTGTTTGTCCACTCACATGAACCTTGATGACTTTCTGAACTTGACGTTACGATGCTTTATGATCTAACTCAGATTTTGGTGGAGGGTACTGTGACATTATCTAACACAAGGCACTGTGCTTCCTTCCTGCACCATCAAACCCTGGAATAACTTGGAATCGGCCTGTTTTTGAAAAGAAAAGCTATTATGATGCTCCATTACTGACAAATGGGGCAAGAAGGCACACGATTTGAACTTTGAGCACGACGATTCGTTCATTCCCCGAGGGTTCGGACGGTTAGTGCAAGACTATACTAAAACAGTTCAATTCAATCTCCTTGCATAACACAGCAATGGTGAATGACCTTTATGTGAGCATGTTTCACACATAAAGGTCACCCCCCCCCCCCCCTCCTCCTCACCCCCACCATCTCCAAATCCTTGCAGTCTGAACATAGTGTACCAACCTGAAAGGATGCTGACTGGGAGACATTATGCCATCTTTTCTTCAGCAGTCGTTTTCCTTCAAAAGTAAAGCAGAAGAGACAGAAAAGGAGAGAGTGACAGTCTGATCTGGGGAGGGAAGAAGTGAAGAATGTAATTACAGGACTGGAGAAGTCTTTCATCGTGTAATTGGATATACCTTAGTAGGTTTTCATTTCAACTTTCCTGCAGTATTAGCACCTGATACTACCCATATTTTATGAAAAAAGTAGATTGAACATAACTATAAACTTGCATTTTGCTCACTAAATGGATACAAGTTGAATAAACTGCGTTCCAAAAACAACTCCCCTAAGCTCTCATGTCTGAAAGTGTTTCAGACATACAATCTCACATACAAGGAAAAGTTGGCTCACAAGCAAATAAAGAATATGTGTTAACATTCAGGGTTTGGTCACAAAGTTGCCTGCTGTCTTCTACAAAATGAAAAACAAATAAAATTAAATGGCAAAAAAAAAAGATCCATGCAAAACTCTACAGTACTTACAGCAACTTTTAAACACCTTTTTCAGCGAGAACCTGGTCAAGACACAAAAGGAAATCTGCGACACAAAGTCACAATGCCATATGAAAAAGAAAGCAAATATTTGGTGTTTACACTGTCTTCTCTTTATGGCAGGTTGTAAATTTTGGCTGTCTAAACACACATTTACAACAAACAACTGGAGGAAAACAGAGGGAAATGCTGACATTCCAGCTCTCCGTTTGTATGGAAAGCCACTAAAGGTAAAGGCCTTCTCTTTTCTGTGTATCAAACTATCCTCAGAGTAACAGTAACACTGACCAAAGGACTGTTTTCATTTCACTCGGCAGCTTGAAACTCATGACTGCTTTGTCCTCGGTCTTAAAGGCTTAGAAAGTTTTGAGTGTGTGGTTTTCAAATTCAAATCCATCAAAAGCGATGATCGGTAAACACTACTAAGTGTGAGTCAACCTGAAACTTGCAAATCTCTTACATTTTCTTTTCCCTTTTCACGTTACTTTGAAAAAAAGAATAGTCCTTGTGTGGTAAATATAATAGGATAAACATAGCCTGAGTTTAATAGAGTTTGCTAGGTTTCATAAACAAGCTGTTTTAGACTCTTTTTTTGTTTTTTTTGCTTGTTTAAAAGCATTACGCTGAGGCTTTTAAATAAAAGAAAAAAAAAGAATCAACATATAATCTATCAAATTAAGTTAAGTAAATATGAGATTGAAGCTGCCATTGTTCTCCCATTACTTCTCTGATCTACTGCTTACTTCATTTGGAAATTGCCTTAATGGGAAACATGACTTTGACAGTACAGGACAATTACCTTTCATAAAGTACATTATCCTTCACTTAAAACTGAGGACTTTCCCAGATGACAGTGAGTAGCGACACTTTTTGTTCTTTACCAGTTCCAGATATTATTTGGCTTGTTACAAAATAAATGACTTAACTCCTGCAGTGTAAATAATATTTACACTGAGGACTACTTCAGCTTCGGAAGTGGAGGGAGAACGACACAGACTGAACTCGTTTTTTATGACTTCAGAGTGCTTGGTTGAGGTCCTGTGCTGTGGACTCGTAGAAGTGCTGGATTGTTTAAACTGTAACCACTAGAGGGATACATATACGCCTTCCAAACAGCGAAAACATCATCCTTTCACTATGTGCCATAGAGAGAATTACCCTCAGTGAGAGTTGCCTACCTGTGTGACTTCCCACTATGAAAAAAGCACACAAACACACACGCGCGCACACACAGCCCCTGAACATTTGAAACATGACCTGTTCTTTAAAAGACTTTGGAAGTCCTCTAAAGCTGACAACGAGCTCCGACTCCCCCAAGTGTATCTGCTTCAGGCAATCAATGAGGACCGCGATGGTTACTTGTGCAGCTCTCTGTCCCCGTGTCTCTCTTCTGACTAACTAGATATTATAGTACATTTCAACTTTTTATACAGGCACACAGGAAAAGGGAAGTTTTGGATTTTTTTTTTTTTTTTTTTTTTTTTTTTTTTTAATGACATCTCACCTCTTGTTTTCTGTAATAAATATGAGGTCGGTTTGCTGACACTTTCCTTTGGAATTTAATAGTCTATGTGCCATTACTTACTCTCTTTTACGGGTAGGGAAGGAAACAACAAAAAGGTGTGACAAGAGCTTGGCGGACAACTGTGGATTTCTGCAAGTAACTCCTACCGTCCAAAGGGGGATGCGGGGGCATCGGCCGGACCCCCCTCTTGATTGATTACTTATTAGTCATCCCTTTGGCTAAATGGGACCCATTGAAAAGGCACCGTGGAACACATACATGAATGAAATATTCCTGTGTCCCCTGAATGTCTCCAGAGTAGTTTTGCTTAAGAGAGGGGGTCGTGGCTTAGCATTATAAAGAGGGAAAAACAGCATAGCTTTATGGGTTTATTTAGACAGTTTCTACGGTTTGACATTCTACCGCTGTAAAAAGGGAGAAGGAAAAACTCGAGAGGATCCCAAAGAGAAGAACATTGTGGACATATTTTTTGTAGTTATTCCACTGTTTCTTTTATTATTTTTTCCTCATATTTTATTTTATTTTATTTTTTTTATTTTTTGCCATTTCTTCTCCCGAAAAATGAAACTTTGGACATCACCCTGGGTGTCTTGCCTGGTGATTCTCATCTTGTGTTTTGGATCAGAGTGCGGGATAGTCCGGAAAAAGGGGAGATCCAAGAGGGAGTTGGTGCGCATTAGGGAGGCGAAAGCCACCATCCCAGGGGCTTGTGCCACACGTCTGCCCCGGGGCAAACGCTCTTTGCCCGGCTTGGAGCGACGGGTGCTTCGGCAGCGCCGGCGCTCCTCTCAAGCGGAGGGAAACTCACCAGACCGAGGGAAAGCTGTCTATTTTACCGGCAGGGGAGATCAGCTACGGCTGAAGCCTGGCGTGGAGATACCCAGAGGCAATTTCACTGTGGAGATGTGGATCAAACCGGAGGGAGGTCAACGATCGCCTACAGTGATCGCAGGTAGGCTACTTTATAGCACATCCTCCATCCTATCATCTGCACAACTCCTTTTATTAGTTAAACTTCAAACTGAAGAAAGAATGGAAGATAAACATGCAAACCTTCAGCGTTTTATCCCAGTCTATTTAACAAAGCAACATGCAGTTTCAGCGAGTTGAAAATGAGTTCATCTATCAGACTAGACAATGATGTAATGCTCTAAAAAGTACAGCGGATATTTTAGGTAGTGCAACTATAGGGTCACTGAAGATTTTGATCATATTTAAGATTTCCACCTTACAGAGGTATGATCGCTGCAGTAAAATTTTATAACGCAAATGTGTTCCCCCCTCTGTTTTACCACTTTGTAATGTTCGCGTACGTGAGTAATAAGAATTGTAAGTCATGAAATGTAAGTGGGGATTAGTAGCAGCAGATATAGGCTACTGCATCAGTTGACCGGCAGCTGATGTCACTGCGCGTAAAATGTAATCTCTCAACCGACTTGGCTATTTTAAAGCTATGATGTAATGGCCAAAAGTTTGGGAGGGAGCACGTCACGTCAGGCACAAAACGGGAGAGACTCGATGTATGTGGAGGCGCTCAAAGCTCGCAGCTCAAGCCGCAAGCTTGTGCGCGCGCGCGCGCGTGTGTTTCTGTGTCCCCCTCCCCACCCGGCCCCTCCAAATCGACACCTTTGGATTGGCTACCGGAGTTACGAGACAGGACTGAGGGATCCAGGGTTTCCCCCCTTCTTGAGCGAAAATGTGATGCTTATGTTTGCTTATGTTTATGTGGTGTGCTTTCATGGTGTTGTGCACTGTCACCAAAACGCAGATACTTCTGTGAAATCATGGTCGTCATCATCGGCGAGTTTCTAATTTAAGGCACAATCAGATAGTGATGATGCATCTCTCTATCCAGCGACAGAGCATAGCGGGGTACACAGTCACTTCAGTAAGACCCAGCCGTCAGAGGAAAGCACTGTATCATCTGTGCGCTTTTTTTCTCCTGTTCTCGAGCCGTGCGTAAAGAAGCACTGAAAAGGCGTTTAAATGGCATTGTTGGTTGTGACCAACGGAGCTTTTGTGCATTACAGGATCGGATATCTTTTTTCTTTTATTTCTTTTCTTTGCCGATAGGGAGCGTAGCAACTCGTTGTCTGCCACAGTACTTGTGCAGATGGCTTTCTTTGAACTGAACTGAATTGAACTCAGTCCTCCTCAGCTTACTCCAAGTCCACACGTCTAGGGGACTTTACTCAACTTTACCAATACATTTACTTATTTACTTGCTTCCTTGCTCCGTTGTTGCCGCATGTGTCCTAATCTATCTACCCAAAACAAACAAAAACAATCAAACAAACACCTCGCCCTCCAAAAGAAACGCCCAGAAAACAAAAACCCTGGTACCACACACACACACACACACACACACACACACACACACACACACACACACACACACACACAAAATAAAATAAAATAATAATAAAAAATTCACTTCTGCCTGCCTGTATTCACATACAGTAGCTAACCCTGGCCAGTTGGCAGGAACATGCTTTGGAAAGCCAGTTCCTTGTAAGAGTCTTAATCTAGAGGAGAGGGGGGTAAGAGGGTCTGTTGTGACCTGAGTGACTCCTGATTTTTTATAGAGGATGGACATGATAACAGGAACATCTGTGCAATATAATGCAATCCAGTAAAGCAATAGCACAAAGGGCGGCCTCCATATTGACCACAGAGTTAAATAAACACATCTCGTACACAATTCTGACAAAAATGAACGTTATAGTTCTTGCAGATGTGGTATGGGATTTCATCATTTTTTACAGGTGTTGTTGTTGTTGTGCCCAGCCCCCCACCTACCACTGCCTTCTAGAGATTACTATTCCTGTATAATCTTGTGTATTCAGTTTTAAGATTTCCTTCCATCAGTGAGCCAGAGATTGGACCTAAAGACAACAAATTTGTCAGTCTAACAATTTCAACTGAGCCTAATCTTTTAAAACCAATTGAGACCTCAAAATCCTTGTGCCCCTAAAATGCTCCATCCCCATGTTTTGATCTAAGCACAGTGTTGTTGGAGGAACTGTTTTTTTATTGTCTTGTTTTTGACTGCCACAATTGCACCCCCCCTCCCCCATTTTTATACGTTTCTTACAGGATGCTCTTTTCTGTGCAACTGACTAGTTAGAGTGAGCGCAGTCTCAACTGTGAAATATATTATGTTACTTGAGCAGTTCTTTGACCAGTTGGGGTAAGAGTTTCTTTCCTCTGGCCTCATAAAATTATTCTGAATGGGATTGTGTCCAAAATGCCTTCAGTAAGGAAAAATAGATAAAAGAAAACTATCTTCCCTTATTGCACTCAGTATGACTGACTTAGCTTTAAGTTACTTTTATTATATTTATAGAGTTTTTGTTTTGGCAAAATATTAAAATATCAGCATTTAAAGAGGTTTATCAGTTTTTGCAGCCCATATTTGTAGACTGGCTTTTTTTATTAACTATTTTTTATGATAAAGGAACTATTCAAGCTATAGTTTCATAGTATCTATGTGATCAAATAAAACATTTGTAAATACACATTTGAATAGTTTTCAACCCCTTAAAACCAATCACAAGACCCCTCTGGGTCACATTTGACAGTTACATGTGGTCAGAATTAATCCCAGGTTTAGTATTTGAACTGTTACAGAGCACCACTCACAAACACACATACCTTTCTAAGCACACAATCAGAACATCAAGTTCTGCGTCCGAATGTTATCCAAATTTGTTGTGCCCGATTAGCCTTTGTATCCAGGTCATGTCGGGTTTTCCCGAAAGAGGAAAATAAATCACAAGAGGAGTGCAGGCTGTCTTCATAACCTGCTGGAGACAATTATGTGCAGTCGCTGGCAGATAATTAAGTTGATAACAGATGTATCTCCTCATTGCAGGACGATACACAATAGATATCATGCTCATAAACTAAGTTTGTTTAAGGTTTTTTTTCATGGCTACTTAGAAAAAGTATCTTATTGGTTTATTAATTTAAGTGTGATACAGTACTGTGCAAAACCTTTGAGCTTCCTCTTATTTTCCTATATTTTGCTTCCAAGGTGCCAGACCTTCCTGCGAATCTTTTAAGCCGTCTTGAGCAATAGTTCTCCAGGCTTTCTGAAGCTCTTTCACAGTTTTTCTTTGGACATTGGCTGCTTTTGCATTAATTTTCAGTCCAGTCCTTGGAGTTGATCATTTGAATAAGAATGTCTTTTTGTTTTTTTATATTTTAACCATAAGCTATGTATCATACATACATAAAAAGACACCTAACTAGAGCTATGAACCAATATTGTGCCTGCAGATAACTGACAGCTGAGCAAAGAACTGCCAATCACATCTTTAGGCACTTTGTAAATAGTAACTTGACATAAAACACAGTGACTGCTAAAGAGAGAGTAGCGGAAAACTTGGCATATCTTGGTATGGTGTACAGTGTGTCCTTAAAAAAAATTGAGGACGCTAGACAAATGGAGGAAGAAATGCAGGTCTAAAAAGCTGTCTACAGCAATGAACAGAATCTAAAAGCCATCTCATTAAAAAATAGGAAGAAACTGAACAGAGACCTGACACACCTGAGAGATGCCTCTGTCCCTTCAGGTTATCCATATTTTGTTCACTGAAGCCTTAGAAGAAATGTTCTCAGTGAAAGGTTGGCTGATAAGAAGCCATTCTCAAGGAACTAAAACATGGAAATGAGGTTTGCCGAATTACAGGAGAACTGGACTGGACTGAAAATCAGTGGCAACAGATCTTAATGGAGTGACGAATCCAAATTAGATTTTTTTTTCCCCGCATTTCCGCAAGTGGTGTTTGGATATTGTCAAAGGTGAGGATGTTATGAACACAGAGAAGTCCTATCAGGTTTTGATCCACCACGCAATATCATCTGGAAATAATCAGAACCTTTTTTTTCAGCATGACAATGATCACAAACACACTGCCAATGCAGTAACGCATTCCTTTATCAGTCATGGATTGGCCTACACAGAGCTTGGACCTCAACCTTACTAAAGCAGTGTGGGATCGTTCTGACAGAGACAGAAAACAGTAACAGAGGCAGCCAACATCCAAAGAAGAGCTTTGAAGATCTGCTCATTGAAGTGACAAGAAAGCTTGTCTATGAGAGGCTGCGCTGGTTATTGAGGTTGAAGATTACCTTCAAGTTTGGTAAAATTGCGCAAACTCATGTAGTGTAGTACTCTATGTATATTTGCACATATTTCCATAAATCACAGCAACTAACAACATATTAGACAATAAGGTGTGGCACAAGACTTTTGCACATTGCTGTGTATGATCACAGCTAGTTACCCACAAAGAGGTTGATGCTTAAAGAAGGGTTAAGCTCAGAGTCTAACACTTATTCTTAGCAATCGTTACCTCAACTAGAGGTTTAAACTTCTTATCAGTCCTAAGCATTATTAGCTATGCACCGCCTTATTGTGGCTGAATGGCAGTTTGGAAAAGGGTTTGTTTAATACCCCAAATTAAAATGACTGCAAATTATTTAGCTGAATTAATTTGGAGTGAGACTTGAAAGCTATGTCAAAAGGTAAGTGTTTTAAAGTGCAATGATATTTTTATGAATGATATCCTTGTTTGTTTTAAAATGTCATTGGGATTTTCCATTGTCTGCATGGGGAAATAGCTGGTGGTCACTTAGGTATGACCATGAAAGTGCCTTTCTTTGACCTTTTAGAGCAAAAACAGTTCAAAAGTAAACAGAGTCTTTAATGTTCCCTTCCTTCCTGCTTTTTATCAAGACCTTGTGACATTTTTCTTTGTGAGGGTATGTGTGTTTTTGTACTTTTCCTTTTTTCCTGAGTGTGTTTTCACAAAAGAAGACAAATGGCAAGTGCAAGGAGGGCTGCATTTGAAGCTGACAGAAACAGTGGTCGACCGAAGCACACGCCAGTCTCTTTGTGTGTGTTTATATGTGAACACAAATATGCACTTCACTATTTCATTTTGTCTGTGCATATGGCCATGGGTGTGTGTATTTGTTCATGAGAATGTATATATGCATGTCTTTATAAGTATGTGCATATGTGTGCCTAAGTGTTTTTGTGCGAGACCCAGCAGTCACAATATTGGGTCTGGAAAAGCATACCATGTTAGATAAATTGACCATGGCAGAATTATGACAGCTGTTTACACTAGGAGCCCTATGAGCATTTTAGCACACCTTTTTTTTTTTTGCCTTGAGTGCTCTAGCTGGCAGATGGGAAGCTTTTTCCTTCCAGTGTAGTGGAAAGCCTGAAAACGTCATCCACTGAAGGACTGACCTTGACGCTGAACCCAACCCTCACCCCTTGAACATTATTCCGTGAAAATACCAAGTTAATGAACGCACACTGCAGTGTGCATCTAATTAGAAACAGGTCAAAGTTAGCAGGTCTGTACAATTACCATTAGCCAGCCACTTATTAGAGGCTCAGGTAACCTAATCGATGGGCAACAAAGGCACCCAAGTTGACAAGTGAGCTGAGGCCAAGATGTGATCATCAGCTTTCACACCATAATAAAGGCAGCAGAGAAAAATATGAAGGGCATTTACAGGAATTTGAAGCACTCATCGTAACGGCAACTGTAAAGAATACTTCATATCTATATGAGCTGGGTCTTCAGGTCACAGATCGAGTGTCTCTTTGTGGGTAGATATAATTACATAAAAGAGCATGATGTTGGCAATTGTAGAAATTACAAGAGTGCAGTGCAGGTCTATCCCCACCTGTGAACACATACGGTAGATTTCCACAGGCTGAAATGGACCTTGTAAGGCGTTTCCCCGTGGTTTTGGAATATTTGCACACTTGGGACTGTATGGATATATGCTCAGAGTCATGAAACGCATTAATAAACACATGCAGTATGCACAGATGTGGACTTGTGTGCCTGCACACATGTACCTCAACAAGTGCTAAACAAACAAACAGTTAGCATTCAGAGATCCCCTAAGAAGTGAAAACACATTACAATGCTTAAGCTGGCATACACAGTCCAAGTAAAACAGGAAAAAGGTGTTTTGGTGCCTCTGCAAAAACACGACTTTAGCAGAAAAGTAGTCTTTTCTGGCTAACCCACTGGCAAGAGACATTTACATGAACTACTTTAAATGTGCTCAGTGTTCATGAAAAGCCTATAGTGAGAGATTTCCATTGGTTCTCTCTTAGCTAAACAAGCACTTCAACCCAATATTCAGGTCTTAGATTGGAAAAAAAATCTATTAATATATTTGCTCACTAACCTTGCTTACATTTCCTGTTTCCCCTTAATAAACGACACTTTTACACATATTGCATAAAATATTAAAAAGGTACTGATAATATAGTGAATATATTGAAAGTAATGCTGAAATATTATCACAGGAAAAACTGGTAATGAAACTGATGTACTGCGTTATAGTTATTCTACAAGCCCACTTCTGCATAGCTCCTAGCTCTTCCTCAGGAGATGATGAACTTTTAGTTAATGTGTTCACTTTCTTTTTGTTTAACTCCTGCAAATAAAGGTATTAACATATTGACAGATTTTTCATTCTTTTTTCAGGCCTTTACGACAAATGCTTTTATGCCTCCAGTGACCGAGGCTGGCTGCTTGGCATCCAGGCGGATAGTGAATACGGCGACCGCGATCCCCGCTTCTTCTTCTCCCTTAAAACTGACCGTGCCCACAAAGTGACCTCAATGCGCTCCAACGCTCGTTATATACCAAACCAATGGGCACATATTGCAATCACCTATGATGGCGTGTACATGAAGCTCTTCGTCAATGGAGCCCAGGTCGCCGTTAGTCGAGAGCAATCCGGCGATGTCTTCAGCCATTTGACCCAAAAGTGCAAAGTGCTGATGATTGGGGGCAATGCACTCAATCATAATTACAGGGGGGCAGTGGAAAGGGTGAGTCTATGGAGGGAGGCCCGAGGGCAGAGGCATATCATCAGGGATATGCAAGGCCAAGAGGACCCCCAAGATCTACCTAAGCTGATAATTCGTGAAACATTTGAGCACCCAGGTCGTAAGTGGCTGACTGTAAAAGATGGTAGTTTTCCTCAGCCTGAGCACAGAGGAGGTGCGAGGTCAGGGTTTGTGAATGGTGGTGGAAATGGAAATGCTGAGGGATTCCTGGACACAAGCTTGGAACCTCCAACTTGTGGTCAAACTGTCTGTGACAACGTTGAGGTCATTCGAAACTACAACCAACTTTGGACCTTCCGCCGACCAAAGAAAGTTCGATATCGTGTTGTAAATATTTGGGATGATGCAAGGACAAGGCCAACTGTGTCAGACCACCAGATCATTCTGCAGCATCAGCAGCTTAATGACGCCTTCAGCCCCTATAACATAACCTGGGAGCTTAGCATTCACAACGTGACCAACTCTTCTCTACGCAACCGCCTGATCTTAGCTAACTGTGACATCAGCAAAATTGGCGATGATCAGTGTGACCTAGAATGCAACCATCCGCTAACAGGATTTGATGCAGGCGACTGCATATCTAGATATCGAAACAGCTGCCCTGAACACAAGCAGGGTAATGGTATATGTGACCCTGAGTGTAACTGGGAAAACTTCTTCTATGATCTTGGCGACTGCTGCAACCCCAATGTGACAGACGTGACCAAGACATGCTTCAACCGTTCCTCTCCACACAAGTAAGAATACTTTCTTGACATTTCGTATGATACAGTGTTTTCTTTGGTATTTTTTAAATAAACATATTTTACTGTAATCCTCCAAAAAGCATTTACTGATTTTATAGTTCTTTTTTTTTCTTTTTTTACTCTGACATAATTGAGTAATTTTGGTAAACCAACTCTGCACTATTGCCTCGAATGCCAAGAGTAAATCAAACAGCCAATCTTTCCATACATGTGTCCCTGTAGAAAGCTTTTCTTTATGTCTACTCCTACTGTTTCCTGACCATTTGGGCTAAGGCTGAGTGTAACTCAACTCCCAGCCTGTGTGGCCCAGGAAATCCTCAGGGGGCAGCAAGTCCAATCTAGCCTTGGACTGGTTCAATCAGTGTTCCACACTTAAGCAGGGTAAAACAAACGCAACTGGATGACTTTCCTGGTAGCAAACGCGCAGGCCAGACCACTCATTCTTGTATCCAGTTTTCACCAACTCTCCCCACCTTTTTCTACTCTGTCTCCTATACCCAGAGGTCTTCATTGAACTGGCTTGATTATATAAGGAGAGTTTGGAAAGAGTGACATTCTAAACACAGCCTGAGGGCAATTAGGAGTCAAAAGGAGGGTCCAGTATATTTTCTTTCCATATAGCAAAGGAATTCACTTCAATGAAATACCACTCTTGTGAGTCCCAATGAGACAGGTATGAGTGCCTAAACATCTTCTTGTAAAGAATTATCCATAAAAGAAATGTAAAGAACGTAATTTCACTTGCATGTAATAGCCTCTGTAACAAAATTCCCGAGGCATTTTGCAGCGCTGTATAGGAAGAAGAATATTATGCGATTTCATAACTTCAGGAGAAGGCAGGGGTTGCTCATAAATGCATTCAATTTTTTTTTGTTTTTGTGGTAACTTCATTGTGGTTTGTAGATGATGAGTAAAAGCTGGCAAGGAGAATAAATCTCTGGAATTTTGCTGTATTAAGGTTTGCGCCAGACCTCCAATAGCAGGATTGTTTGTTTCTTGGTACACTGAAACTCAACACAGTAGAGTGAGACATTTTTGCGGACAGTGCAGGGGGTCTTTATGGTATGCTAGAAAAAGAGAGAGAAACGGCAAGGCTTGGTCAGTATTTCTTGCCACTGTCATGTGAGGACAAGTGAAAGGGACATAAGCAGGTAGACCTAGTGTGTGGGATTGTTTGGGTCTTTCTGTTAGTATGAATCAAGGAGACGAGGCTGTTTTCAATCACAGCTAAGCTGGAAGCGCTGTCTATCTGGCACTGTCCCGTTGTTTAAAATGACTGCTAAATAGCTAAATAATGACATCTAATTAACAACATCAGAGGGTAATGCAGGTGGGTTTGCCATTGCTTCCATATCTCAGTTCCCACCACATCCCTTCCAACTTAGTCATCATTAGCCACCACTTGATTAATGGGTTTCTAACTACTTCATTTAGACATCAAGTATTGGCAAAATGCGTGCTGTTGCAATGTGAAAGTCTCCCTGTGGGCATTTGAAAGATGGGCTTGTGAAAGGAAGGATCGCAGCAAAAGTGAAAATAAAATGCACAGAAAGAAAGATTTTTGCCTAAAACATAGATATAATCTCCCCAAGTGGTTGCTTATTTTGTTTTGATTATGGTATGTCTGGAGAAACTTGCAGAGAGTACAAACAATTTGACATTCCTCCCTAATTATGGAATTCTGGATGAACAATGTACTGCGTATGCAGGGGAACAATGGTTGTGAGGTCCTGCATTTATTTTTGCAGCATTTGGGCCTGTTACCACTTACATGTAGTGTTTTAAAAAAAAAAAATCTGGCTAACACAGGACACACGCAGCTCAGTGGTGCTGCATCAGTTTCTCTTCTGAAAATACCACTAATAATATTTCCCCCTCCCCGCTCCACATTTGGCTGAAGAAAATGTTTTGCATTGTTTTCACAGACCTCGGTTTTGACACTTCTTCTGGTTTTGGTGGTATTTGATGTTATCTGACAGCATTCATTTTAAGGCTAAACATTCTCATGTCTGGAGCCTGATATATCTGACAGTGTGTCTGTAATGCATGCAATGAGAATCCACTTTCTGAATGGTAGAATGAGTATCTATTGTTGGACAAGCTGACATATGTAGACATACGTGCTTGTTTTATTCCCAATTAGAGATTGATATAATTACAGGTACAAAATCACAGGGTACACAGGAACTTAATACATGACATTTTTGAGAGCAACTGATGAAGGAAATCTTTTGGAAACACCTCACAATCAACCATTTTAGCCTTTTAGAAAATGAAGTTCTGGCTTGGCATTGTCAGGAGTGAACAGGTCATCTGTTTTCCCTCAGCCTCTTGCCATCCCTGCCCCCTCCCTCCTGAGTCAATACCTCTCCCTGTGGCAGGTTAATGGATGGAGTGTCTCATGTCTTTCACTCCTTCTCCACGCTGTATTCCAGCTTGGTGCAGGGCTCTTGACATAGAGTTTTACAGTTGGTCGTCTAAACCTTAAGCCCCTGTCCCATAAAACATAATGGAGTGCTTGGGTGTAAATACCAGGACTTTTCACTTCCCCTTTAAAGCCATAGCCCACCTGTTGTCAAAGTTTCACCTGCACTCTTGTGGGGGCTGGGAGAAGTGAAAAAGTAGATTTTCTGCATAACTAGAGGACTGAAGGGATTGTGGGAGGTGGGTGGCTTTACGTGGGCTATCGTAGGAATGCAGGGTCGCATCTGGCTTTGACGGGATAATATATAGCCAGATTCTGTTGGTGGTCCTTTGAAAATATGACACATGGGGGAATTCAGCTGATATTGCATTGGCAAGGTGACTGTGGTTCCGAAGTCAAGTAAGGTTCTGATGAAGCGTTTCACACATTTCTGCCAGAAAGTGAGAGAGTTACACTCAGCACTCCATTAAGGGCTTTTACTTCAGATAAGAACTTGGAGAGGTAGAAAGGCCCGGGGCTATCCAATCATCTGTTTCATATGTCTCTAAACAATGATTTAAAAAAAACAAAACTCAGCAACATTTCTTATGCATGTGTCTTCCTTGAAGGGAGAAATATTCCGAGGACTAAGCTGGAAGGTTAAAGAAGAGAGCCTAAGTATAGTAATAAAGACAGAGATGAATGATGGGGCTGTGGTGTTGACCGACTTGATGACAGGGGAGCTGAGGGCCCCCTCTAATTTCAAAAGTGTTCTTGGCTATGAGACTGTCATTGCCAGCGTGCCCCAGCTTTCACACTTAGCTGCCCTAGACACATGTATACGAGGCGAATTTATGGCTTTATATGAATTATATATGGATGTAAATGGATGAAGTCATAATCCCCCATTTAATATGTATCAGATATAAAAGCATTAACACGACAGTTTGAGCTGCCTCATGGACCCCTGAATTTCCCCAGCAGAGATGCCCTGCAGTGACGCTTCATTATAGTTAGGATCAATTTTCTTCACTCGCCTTACCTTTTGCACTTTCCCTCCCTTGTTTTTTTTCTCTCCTTCTCTCTCTTTGTAAGTCTTTGAAACTTGTTTTCCCAGGACAAAAGTAGTGTGGTTAAATGCATGGAAAATCCTGTCTCTCCCAAGTGGCTCATCTAAGCTGAAAAAACATGATAAGAGGCAAGAGTGGGAAACATGGGTTATTGGATGGGGAAATAGTTGAGGGGTCTATGAGAGAGAACATTGGGCGGTTGGTGTAAAGTGAGGTAAAGGGTAATTTGCAGGGAGGTTTGAGTAAGATAGATAGTTCAATTCTCAGAGCAGTTCTGGTTACATCCCTATGATAGTGTCATTGGGGACTGAGTTCCTGTAACGGAAGCAAACGAAAATGTAAAACATCCACGACAACATAGTCAACACTGTGTGAAATCAGAAACATGCACACATGCACATACAGACATACAAAAGCTTTTTGTATGTTCAGCTTTTGTCAGCTGACTACAGTAAAACTGAGTCTTGCTTTGATTCTCTCTTGCACACTAAAGTGTTAAGGGCCAAGGCTGTTAAAAAAATGAAATTGTGATTAGTAAATTAAATAGAGAATTTCTCCCCTTATTCATTGCTGACTCATTCATTTCAGCATCAAAAACCGCGTGACCCCTTTCTCCCAACGTGCATGTCCAAAAATTCTGGACAAATATTTTCTGAGGAAATAATGAAATTCCTGAAATTATTAGAAAGAGGGACCTTATATGATCTGTTTTCTCTCTCTCCTTAGACCTGGCCCCTGCGAATGCCCTCTGTTGCTCTTGCATAGGCTTGACGAAAGCATGTAGTACACTAAACCTTTTATTGAAAACGTCTGTTTTAGGGGAGCACTGAATCTTCACTAAGCAGCCCTTATTTGACTTGCGACTTCAGGTAGAAGCAGATTTGTCCAGCAAAACTTGATTTTATGAGGCACTTTGTGTAGCTGCATATAAAATGTGCATTGGTGGTAACTTTAGTAGGGTTACTCCTGTGGGGAAAAAGAAATTATCTCACTGGTCAAAATTCTTCCAAAACACTGCCAAACAACAGTGTTACTGACTTTTATAATACTGTTTTTAGGCTACAAGAACATATGCTATGAGGCATACATTTAAATATTTTATACAGACGTTCCATCACAGGTCAAAAGTTTTCTATTGGATTGAGATCTGGTGACAGAAATATTTTACAAATCTTCTATTGTCAGTGTTAGTTAGCCAGTGTTAGTTGTAGCTTCACTTTCCTGTTCTTAGCTAACAAGTGTGGTCTTCTGCTGCTGTAGCTCATCTACTTCAAAGTCCCATGTGCTGTGCTCTCAGAAACGGTCTTCTACATCCAGTAGTTCAATCCAGTGACGATTTGAGTTATTGTTTTCTTTCTGTTGGTTTCAAGCAGCCTGGCCATTTCCCCCTGACCCCTGGCATCAACAAGGCATTTTCACTGAAGATATTTTCTCTTTTTCCGATCATTTTCTGTGAAAACTACAGATGGTTGTATGGGAAAATCCCAGTAGATCAGCAGCTTGTGAAATACTCAGACCAGCTCATCTGGCGTCCAAAAGTCTTGTAAATCACCTCTCTTCCCCATTCTGACTGAACTTCAGCAGGTCGTCTTGACCATGTATACATGCTAAAATGCACCGAGTTGCATAAGATGTCTAACTCAGAAGATCTCTAGAAGATAGGAAAAAGACCCTGTTTCAAAACACACACAATTAAATAATTTCCCCCAGGGATCAATAAAGTATTCTGATTCTGATTCTGAATTACAATTTAAAGTACCTGATACCATAAATAGGAAAAACAGCATGCAAAGACATATTTTTTCTAATGCTAAAATGCCCATGCAGCTACGCCTATTGGTGCAACCAAACAAAACACTGTAATTCATCTGAAACATGAAGATATCAAATCTGACACCTCCACTTTTAAATGATTACAGGATCGTTCACTTAATTAAACAGCTGTAGTTTGTGACACTTGTTTGTGATAACCTCTGGTGACTTACTTCAGCTGGCATAGTAAAGTAATCAAATCAGGTGCATGCATTCAGTGGAACTATGCACCACCTTACTTCATAGCAATTCAAAACATACTCACCCATTTCATGTATTGAGTGGGAGAGTAAATATAAATAGCTCAGTCCAGGATTACACTTCACAAAGGTATGAGTCTTTGAAGATTTTCCTTTTATCTATATATTTACCTCAGTTCCCTTAAGTGGGACAAATGTAATATGAACTGTAGTGAAAAAAAAAAACTTTTACAAATTGATTTGCATGCACGAAAAGTTGGTGCTGGAATCGATTCAACAAATTTTAAAAACAATTTACACTTTTCATGTACTAAGTTAATAAAATCCAACGTGCTCAGGGAAGTCTATGATTAAAATGACACTGAATTAAAGCAAAGTGAATAGCATTTAAATTTGGACCTCCTGTTTTGTTTCTCCTTTCTCTGAGGAGTTTGCCTATGTGGGTGTCCTCCCACAATCCAAAGTTTAAAGTGGTTGTAGGTGTGGATATGTCTTCCTGAGCTAATCATGTGATTGACTGGCAGCCGGGTCTCCAGGGTGCATTTTGCCTTTTGCCCTCTACAAGTGACCACAGAAGAAGAACAGTGAATGAAATCAATTTATTTTTATTTACTGGAGGAGAGTCAGGTTTAGCCTCAGTTCACTTAATCTTATGAGGACATGCAAAATGTGAACGCAAAATAAAAGGCAGGCAAAAGGGTCACACAAAATGGGTCAAAACATCTACAGATCTAATTTGCCATAGTATGACTTGGGTCTTGTTTTGTTTCTGATAAACTCTTGTTTATACATCCACTGAATATCTATTTCAAAAGTCTCCCTAAGCCAAAGGGAAAGAATAAACTATCATTTCAGCATATGCAACAAATTACTGACTCTTCCAAGAGATGACTGAGCTTGTTGATGCTGTTTGCCAGGACCACCAGCCAGGCTCATAGAGAAAACTGTGCTTGACGTGTTCATAAAATGAATGACAGTTTCACTGCTGGAAAGATATCTCATTGTGTTGAGTGATTGCACTCATTTGTACTACCGTTAATGCTCACAGAGCCTGAGACAGAAGATTATGCCTTGAGAAGGGAGACATCGGAATACCTAAACAATTAATTCAAATGTCAGGCTGACATAAATGAGTCAGACTGGTCTCAGATTCTCGGTAGAAAACTCATGATGCAGTGAATAGAACATCTTGTTGTAGGACATTATTTCATTCTATGAGCATGCTAAGAATCCATCATATAAATTATAATATTTTTTCTTAATACAAAAGGGTAGAGTAAAATTTTCTCATGCATTGTATAAAAATGTTGGTATTTATAGACATTCAAAGAAAAAGGCTTTCATATTTCAAATATTTATCACAATATACATATATTTACAACTTTGGAGTGCAATCATGTGGAAAAAAAAGGAAAAAAGTTTTCCCAGGACCCAGTAGTTTTTTGAAAAACCAAGCACACCCACAAGATTCTGTAAGAACTAAAAGGGTAGAAGCCAATTGCTACTAATCAAATAATAAAAACAGGAGTTTTGGAGGTCTGGTGGCCTGGGCTATCACAATCATCTCAGGAAGAGTCAAGAAGTCCCACAAACGAGCCAAAATACAAAAAAAGAAAACAAGAGCTACATCTCAGACTCTACAGGCCTCAGTTAACATGGTAAAACCTTCTGATAGAAAGGCTTAACAAGTATGGCTTGGTTGGAAGGGTCGACACAGGAAAACCTCTTCTCTACAAAAGGAATGAGATAGCACAGCTTAAGTTTGCCAAGTTTCATCAACCCACAAGACAGATGAACCCAAAGTGGAATAGTTTTTGCCATTAGGCAAAGTGCCACAAAAAACAAACAGAACATATCAGCACAAACAACTCGCACCAATTGTCAAGCACGGTGGTGGAGGGGTAATAATTTAGGCTTGTTTTGCAGTCACAGGACCTTGCAGCCATTAACTCAGTCATGAACCCTTTTAAGGTCATGTGTCTAAAGGATCAAGTTTGGCTGAATTTGGGAATTATGGGCCAATGATCTCAAGAAGCTGTTGCAAAGACCCAGTCAAAGTCTAGACTTCAACCCAACAGAAATGTTGTGGCGGGATCTTAGTAGAGCTGTGAGTAAACAAATGTCCACAAACCTCAAAGAACTGAAACAATATCAAGTGTCTAATTTGACTTTCAGCAGTAAAGTATATGTGGCTTGTATGTTGAAATTATAAGGTGCCAGAACCATGTTTCAGAACTGGCTATTACTTGATTCGTCCTTCAACATAAAACACTGTCATGCACACAAAAAGAAAAACATCATAGTGACTCTTAGCATGCACTGTAGTTCCAGTCAAACTCTGTCAATAATTGCACATTTGGGATTATTATACGGTTTATTGTACTTTCTAAATGATAACGTCAACAACATGGTCTGTACTCTCCCTTCCACCACAAAAATGTAAATGAGCCTTAAAGCCTGAAATTAGTTCAGTGTAAATCAGACTAATGGCAACTTGATTTACAGTGATTATAATAATATAATTATATTTAAAAACCTTCTCAACCCTCTCCTGGTGTACAGTCACTGGTGAAAGAAAGTAAAACATAATTTTATTGTTTTGTAAGTACTTGTTGGCAGTGCCAGATAGTTTGTAGTCAACATTCATTTTGGATGGAGGAAGAAAAACATTCTTCACCCCTAACCAGCTGAAGAAGATGCATTTTATTACGTCCTTATTAATTTGTACACATGGTTTAAAACACTAGCTGGCTTCAACAAGATCATTTATTCTTCTTGGAACTTCATTCTTTTGGTTTCAAGGTCCTTGCAACTGCCAGCACATTAAATAAATATTTTAGTTCATTAGGGACCTAAATCTGAGTTCTGGTTTCGTGAATGATGACACTGCATAAGCTCTTTTGGCTAGGAACAGTGTTTTTTCTTTTCTTTTTCTTTTTTTTTGTTTTGGACTTGGTGAAATCTGGAAATGACTGTCTTAATTGTTAAGCCATTAACTTAATGTGAAATACTGTGTTTGTGTTGTTTTGGGTTTTTTTCCACAGAGCCTATTTGGATATGAAAGAGATCAAAGAGATTTTGCAGTTGGATGGCTCAACTCACCTGAATGTTTTCTTTGCCAATTCTTCTGATGAAGATCTGGCAGGGGTTGCCACATGGCCCTGGGACAAAGAAGCCCTCACACACTTGGGTAAAAGACAAAGCGCATAAATAAATGCATGCATGCAAACTCACATGCAGTTACATAAGTACAGGCACACATCACCTTCAACTTCTTTGGCAGCCCAGATTGTTGATTTGGAGTAATTACAGTTCAAGCCCCAAGCAGTTTCTGTCTTCATCACAGCTCTAACAGGGAAGAAGGTGATAATGAAGCTGAGGAGGCCCATGAATAATGTATTGTCTGAATCATACCCCTGTGCCACAATTACTTTACACTACATTAGGAAAAGGCATTTGTGTGGTGTGTGATTGAGTGCGAGTGACTTCTTTCACTGTGTTTTTCCAGGTGGAATTGTGCTGAATCCTTCCTTCTACGGCACATTTGGTCACACTGACACAATGGTCCATGAGATTGGTCATAGCCTCGGCCTTTACCACGTGTTTCGAGGTGTGTCCGAGACTGAATCATGCAATGATGCGTGCTTGGAGACTGAGCCCTCAATGGAGACTGGGGACTTGTGTGCAGACACCAAACCCACTTCCAAATACAAAGGCTGCAGCGATCCTGAACCAGGCAATGATACTTGTGGCATCCGTCATTTCACGCATACACCGTTTAACAATTACATGAGTTATGCAGGTGAGACTGGGCCTCTGCATGTGTTGAGCTACTTACCAGAGGAAAACTTTATAGTTACCCTTTTTGTGTGTCACAGCTAATGTATAGAAATTGTCGCAGAGAACTTTTTGAGTCTGTGTGCATAGTGTGTGGAAAAAGTATTAGGGAATCTCAGCATTAGCGAATCTTTCATGGCACTCATAATGTGCTAAAGAATTTTAAAAAGTTATTTAAAGGGAAAATGCTCATAAATTATCTTGTAACTTGTTAAAGTAGCTTGTTCTATTCATAGAAAATGGACCTGCACGATGATCAATCTCAAATTGTATCCTCACACTGATTAACTACCTCTTTTTTCTGCAGATGATGCTTGTACAGACTCTTTCACAATGAACCAGGTGGCTAGGATGCACTGCTACCTGGACCTCATCTATCAGACCTGGCAGCCTGCTTCCAAACCTCCTCTGGTGCCAATGGCTCCTCAGGTGGTTGAGCAGCATCATAATTCCATCACCCTGGAATGGTTTCCACCAATTTCCGGACAGTTTTATGACAGGTGAGATGAACTAGATAGGTTATAGTTCTGATACATCCATGTATTGTGATGGGAATTTAATACTAAATATCTTGTTTACACAGTTACATACTTGAAAGTGAGTCCAAATCTAAAGGGCTTAATAAGCTTAACATTGTTACAATTGTCTTGTCACTTCTTGTGTTTGTTTATTGCGTATAAATGACGTGTATTTGGTATGTATCTAAGTTGGTTGCTGTACTGCCTGTTGGTTTCCTAGAGAAGTGGGATCAGTGTGTGACAAATGCACTGAAGGGAGAGTCCTACTACAGTATGCATCAAACTCGTCTTCTCCACGACCATGTGATCCATCTGGTCACTGGTCCCCTCGAGAGGCTGAAGGTACAGTACAGTACTTTATACTTGACTTCTTTTTGACACTGAATTTTCCCAGTCTAGTCTGGCTTTTGCTGTGGAAGTGTAACACATCTTTGTTACATCAAAGAAACACATCTTTGATGTCATTCAGACATCTGTCACTTTCTTGATTTTTTGACCTCTTTCTTCTAAAAGCAATTTTTCATATAAAAACCACACCACATCCACAGTTTACAGTACCATAACACAATTTGAGGTAACTTTTTGTTGCTTGTTTGTTTGTTTAATTTGTGTGAGTCAGTACCCCAACATGCACAAACCTTTGGTGACTGACTCAACCCTAAACTATGCAAATGACTCACTGGATTCATAACACTTGGGCCGTGGGACAACATGGAAGGATCAAGGAGGTCGTTTCCCAATGGATGGTGCTGTATGGTACCACAATTCCCATATGCAGGTTCAGGCCCAAAACCAAGGTCAAAGATCACATGTTAGCGCTAATGCTCTACTGAGAGGAGCCTTGTCTTTCCCTTTTCTAGTCTTGCCCTGGTGCTGAATTGAAAGAAGAGGAATTGGACTGGGACATAAATAAGGCAGCAGAGATGAAGTATTTAAGATTTAAAAATAGTTGCTGTCCCATCTGTGTACCTCTGATCTCACTGTTGTCCTGGCAGTGGCAGCATCAAACATACTTTGGATATTATGCATGCATGTAACTAAGTGCAGCTAAAAGTGCAATAAACATTTGAAATAATATAAACACTCAGCGACCACTTTGTTAGGTGCACCTTATCAACTGCTTGTTGAAGACAGTGTAATGATTAGAGAAACTGCAATAAAACCCAAGAGGTACATCCACAGACCTCAGTTAGCATCTTAAATGTAAAACTCACAACAGCACAATTAGACTCTTAGGCACAATGTCCATTGGGCAGATGAGACCAAAGTGGAGGCATTTGGCCATAAAGCAGAGCAACAAGTTTAATAAAAAACAAACATAGAATATCAGAACAAACACCTTACACCAGCTGTGAAGCATGGCGGTGAAAGGGAGATGATTTGTCCAGCCAAAGGACTTGGGGGCCTTGTAATTATTGAGTTGACCATGACCATGAAGTATTCTAGAGTCAGGCCATCTGTCTTATTGCTAAAGCTTGGCTGGAACAGGGTCATGCAACAGAACAAAGAGCAAGAGCGCTCCAGCAAATGTACTACAGAACGGCTGAAAAAGAAAAGAAATCAAGATGTTGCAATGACTCACTCACAAGGGCGTTTAAACCTTTTCATGGGTGCTCAGGCATCTCTAAATTTCATCATAGCACCCCTAAAAATAACTATAGTAATAATAATAGTAATAATAATGTTTTGTAGTGTTATTGACTTTATCTTCGAAAGTTATATTTTGCCAACTTGTCTACACAAAACAGAATAGAATAAAAACATGGCCCCCTTAGTCTGGATGGCAAAGCACTCTTGGGCAAGATACTGAACCTCGAGTTGCCTGCAATGCATCAAAGTGTGAGTGTGTGAACATTTGGTTAAAGCTGGTTGGGCACAGAAAAAAGTGTGTGTGTGTGGATAGGTGAATGAGCCTTCTTGTAAGAAAGTGCTTTAAATGCTCAAAGTAGAAAAGCACTATGTGAGCACAGTTCATTTACCAATTTGGACTGTTTGGCTTAATTAGTTTTCGCTTAGTTAAGCGCAATTTGCAGGATCTCATTCGCTCTCATTGCAAATCTCTAAACATATTCACACTCACTAAAACACATTTCGAACAGTTATTCACTTGTGATGTATAATCCTAACTACAGGAGGCAGATGTTAAACACAACTGCAAAACAGATGTCACTTCTTAAACACAATGGCTTGTTGCTGATGTTAACCAACAAATGCCAGCACAGAGTGCGCAGCCAGCAAGAATGAGCTGACGGTTGATACCAACAATAAATCGAAACAATGTGAGGCGCAAAGGAGGAAATGGGAGATCGAGAACAACAATTTCAGATGAAAACTTGGCAATTGGGAATGACCATGTTTGTGTACATACAATGGACAGCCTGAAATGTATAGTATGAGATTTACATGCCTATAATTTACTCACAAAAAATGTCTCATCTTTTTGTTTTTGCTGTAGTGTTTAAGGAATGCTCTGTAGTGTTATTATTTTTTTGACTTTTCTGTCGTCTGAAAACTTTGTGCGGTTTTGGGCACAGATAAAATTGTTTTGATGTGATTGTTTGGTTTTTGCCAGTAGAGTCAGAGGTTTTGTTAATGTTGTTTGAAAATTGGGTTTTGTGTTTACAGTTTTCAGAAAAGAGGGGACGGTTTCAGAAAAAAGGATCTTAGCAACTGGGAAAAACCATAATTACTAATAAGGTTGTGCAGAACCAGCCCAGAATCCATAACAGGGACGGGCAACCCTGCAGCTTCTGTGACCGAGATCTATTATCCAGTCATTATTAGGCCTTACAATTTAAGAGGCTGGCAAGGTTTTGATTGTTTTGGACAGGTTTTCTTTGGATCTATACTTGTCTCTACTGTGCTTTATTTTAGTTTAAATTGAATATATGTTTATTTATCTCTCATATGAAGCACTATAAGCACTGTTTAATACTGAATTTTTTCAAATTCAATTTTAAATTTAATTTCACAAAAATGTTATTGATGTGATCAAATATATAGAATTACTAGGATTTACATTTTACAACAAACGTTTATTTAAGCAGTTATTTAAATATGAGCTTAACCCCTAACCTACAAAATGACAGGAATGCACATATTCATGAAATACCTATGTATAAATTATATAATCCTTCATTTTTAAAAAAAAGGAAATTTAGAAACTGCTGATCTATTTGGATTTTCCTGCACAGCCACTTCTAGGGTTTACACAGAATGAGCTGAAAAAATGAAAATAACCAGTGAGTAACAAAAATGGCAGAGGTCAAAGTCCTTTGAGCAGATAGGAAGGCAACAGCCCCTCAGAAAACCACGTAATACAAAGAAGGCATGCAGAGAAGCGTCTCTGGAATGCATAACATGTCAAACCTTGAAGCAGATGGGCTACAGCAGCAGAAGACCACACACTGCTGTGCTTATCAGGTAAGAACAGGAAACTGAATCTACTATAGTTTGCACAAAATTGGACAACAGAAAGTTGAATAAACATCCCCTGATCTGATGAGTCTGAATTTCTGCTGTGATATTTGGATGTTGGCATAAACAACATGAAAGCATAGATCCATCCAGTTCAGGGTGCTACTGTTGGTGTAATGGTCTGGGAGATATTTTGTTGACACACTTTGCTCATCAACTAAAAAAATTTTAAATCCCACAGTTCACCTAAATATTGTTGCTGACCATATCCATCCCTTTATGACCACAGTGCACCCATCCTCTGATGGTTGCTTCCAACAGGACAGTGCATGATGTCACAAAGACCAAATCATCTCAAACTGGTTTCTTGAACATCACAAGGAGTTCAGTGTACTGAAATGACCACCACAGTCACCAGATGTCAATCCAACAGGTGCAGCAATAGGATGTGTACATCCCATGTACCTTTGTTAGGTCCATAGGGTGTACCTTATAAAGCATCTGCTGAGTGTTTATACAGCAGACTCTTATATAAAAATAAATAAATTCAACTTTTACATTCACGTACACATCAGTGACAATAAATATAAATAATAAAGTCATACCTGCGGTAACAGTCAAACCACAACACAAGGCTAGAAATGAATCCTAATCAAAGATGATTAAAATTCTGAATCATGTGTCAGTATGTGTGGATGCTGAACAGCAGCTGCTGAACCTTGCCTTTACACTGGTTATAGTGTGTGAACCAGAGGCAAGTCTGGGCTTGTCTAATATGATGTGTGTTTAAACTGTTTTTTCCCTCTTGGAAAGGGTCTTTGTTTGGTTCTCTCTTAACTCTGCTCGGGCCAGCTTCTCACTGGATACACAGAATACTGCAGCTGCTGTCCCTCTATAATGTTGCAAATGTGATCAGTAGTCACGTTCTGTCATTAGAATGCTAGACATTAAATTACTTGCTTTAAGATTATTATAGTTAGATTACTGGCAAAAATTCCTGTTTTGGAAGATGGGCGCATTGACGTGAATGCAAACATACATGGCACCTGTTCTTCAATGTCTTCCTCCTTATACTACTTGACTGGGAAACACTAGCATGGCCAGGGTGAGCCAGAATGCTTCTCATAAATCTTTACTACTCTAAGCCCTGGAGAAATTTGGCTGAAGTAAAAAAGCAATAATGGGGGGGGGAAGGCAAAAACACATGGATATGGATTCCAGGAGTGGGTAAGAGAGATTGGGTGGGATCGAAACCACCCAAGATAGTTAAGAGAATTGCATGTGGTTGGTGACATGAGTGAAGGAGGACTGATTGAAAACAGTACTGCACGATGCAAGCGAAAAGGTTCAGGATGTGTATGTTTGACAACTGTATTTTGCTTTACTTTGCAGTGTTTCACTTGCAATCTGTAGCACAAACATTATTTTCTCTAAATATCTATGGATTTAATCCTTTAAACTAAACAGCAAGCATCTGTGAAAAATCAGAGATTGCAGACACCTCACTAAAAGAGTTTTTAAAGATTTGTCTGCCTGACAGTATAAGCATAGACTGCTATTTTGCATTAGGCTCAAACAACAATACAACAACAAACAAACAAACAAAGAAAAACAGCAAGCAGAATGGTGATTAGCACTGCCACCTCACAGCAAGAAGGTCCTGGGCCTGAGTCCACCGGCCAAGTATCGGGCCTTTTGTCGTGGAGTTTGCATGATCTCCCTGTGCCCGTTTGGTGTCTCTCTGGGTACTTTGGCTTCCTCCCACACTCTATATACACGCTCATTAGGTTAATTTGAGATGCTAAATTTTAGGTGTGAATGAGAGCATGAATGGTTGTCTGTCTCTTTGTGTTAGCCCTGTGACAGACTGGCGGCCTATTCAGGACCCCTTATCCTGCCTTATGGCACCCGGGAGAGGCTCCAGCCCCTCCAGCACCCCTGATTTAGATAAACGGAAGAAAACAGTTGGATGGAATAAGTACATCTGAAATGGATGGTTTGATAAATGGATGGATTCATTGGGAATTAAACGAGAGGAATGAAGTGAACAGAGCTGATGATATTGGT